CCCCCCCCCCCGGGGAAATACCAAGGTTGAATAATCTTGTTTATGCTACAACTCAGTCAATAGTTGATCATGAAGTTTCGCCAACTGCTCGCGCTTTGTTATCACTACCTGGTCTCAGACCAGGAATTCAAGAAATACTGCGATGAGACGGTTATTTTTAAAGTAGAGTGTACCTGTTTACATGAAATGGTTGAGCTCGAATATTTACGCCAAACATGATGGATGCAACTATAATCGATTGTTTACTCAAGCTTCAAGTTTCAAAAAATGTTGTTTTTTTTTCTTTTTTCCACAAAAATTAAAACTGCCGATATCAAACTACCAATGTGTGCTACAGTTGTTACCTTCAAAAAGAAAAACATAAGCGGAAGGAAAATCAGTTTCGCGCGATATGCACGTGCCGGTCCTCGAAATATATTTGCATAACATTTACAATGTATCAGAAGCAGCGTCTATTTTCATTAAACTGCAAATGTTTGCAGAAGTTAATCATGTGGTCAATCTAAAAGGAAAAAAAACAAATTAAATTCATCTTTATTGACGAAAAAGGTTTCCATTCTCTTATTTTTGTTCTTGGTGAAGGTAGTTGGCCAACGTCCATGTTGGTTTCACGAATGACGAATGTACCAAAATGTACCACACGTTTATGTCTCTCAACGGGGTACTTTTTTCGGGCCGCAGAAGACACTTTCACACAATATAATATAGAGTATAGGCTTTCAGAACATTTTAGTTTTGACTTCAAATTCAATGTACCAGTGGGTTTTTGATGGTATTGAAGTTAGCTAAAATTAGCCGTTTCGCTCCCGAGCTTCGATGAAGGTACTTGTATCGGCTTAAAATATTATAAAAATTAGAGCCTTTGCTAATCAAATTAATGCTTTAGAAACAGCAAGACATGTACTATGAGATACTCAAAGCATATTGGTAGATATCATCGCCTTGATCTGTACGAGCGGAAAGAAAATCCACAATTTTCGGCCATTTTCGGCGGCGGCTGGCAGCTAAAATTGCGATTTTTGAACTTTTTTCGATTTCGAGAAAACTAAAGCGCTTCAGGACCTTTGAATGGTATTTTCGAAAACAACTCGCTATAGAGGTTATTTGGGCAAAATATGAAGAAATCGAAAATTTCGCGACTGTCATCTCATTCTCGGTATTTAGAGGAACTGGCTCTTAAGTAAAAACATGAGTTAATTTCAGTTGAGTTTACCTCTCTGATCGTTACTGTATTTAAGAGAATTTCCGTGGAAATTACACTTACCGAATTCCTCGCTTTCTGCTATTCAATTTACGGTAGAAAAGACTGATTTCAAGTGATTTGCAACGACTGACAGAAATTGTTTTTGTGGCACATCTTCAAACTTTGCACAAACTTTCACACCGGAGAAACTTTTTTGGAGAACTTAACTGGTGAACTAAATGCAACTAAAATAAAGTAGCTCGAAATAAATCTGTTCTGATCTTTAATACAACCTTCTTTGTCCAGTATCTAGGTTACTCGCTCGTTGCGAAGACTTTTTACAAATCGTTGGGAGATGGCGCGTAAGCCGATTCAATGAAAAAGTTGCGTAAACAAACAAATTTGTAATTAAAACCAATTTACCGCAGGGAAAAAAATATACATGTTATTTGCGGCTTAGGGTCGGTCCGTATAGTGAAAAACTGTGAGTTGGGCTTGAAAATGCTTGGCCAGTGGCAACTGGCCAAGAATTTTCAAGACCTCGGTCACGGTTAGGGTTAGGGTCGGTCCGTATAATGAAAAACTGTGAGTCGGGCTTGAAACTGCTTGGCCAGTGGCCAGTGGCCACTGGCCAAGCATTTTCAAGACCTCGGTCACGGTTTTTCGCTACACGGACCGACCCTAAGCCAGCAAATAACATGTATATTTTTATCCCTGCGGTAAATTGGTTTTAATTACAAATTTGTTTGTTTCCTGGTCTGCGGCCTGCATTTTACCCTCAGTCTGCAGTCCGGGTTGGGGGGAGGGGGAGGGGGAGGGGAGGGGAGTACTCTGTAAATCATTGGTAGGGGGTGTGCCGCTGGGACATTGAAATCCTAGCGCTATACTAGACCATGACCAGTCGGGATTTTGCAAACCTACTCTAGACTAAGCACCAAAACTCCTCCCCTGCTAGCTATTTTCCATGCAGAAACTTTATCACTACCGTGGTCCAACATACGCTAACTGAACCAATATCTTATGAAGTCATTTCCAAATTTCAATTTCTTTTATAGAACCCCGGGTAAAGAACCCTGTTCTAGAATAAAGTATTTATAGACTGGCCACGTTTCCGGTAAATTATACCCTATTCTAGACCAAAACTATCTGTTTTCTTTACCTTATCCCAGACTAAACTGTCTGAAAACCATACCCTTCACGGCGGCACATATCCATATAACTTATGTAAGGGAGTACTCCACCCCCCACCTTTGGTCTACAGTCCACAGTCTGCGTTTTACACTGACCGGTCTGTAAATAGCCTCTGCTGAATGTTTGGTTATCCGATTGAGCCCGCGTAGACGCGGAAATGTATTTTATAACCAGCCACCATCTAGCTAGAGGACAGCATACATGAGACAACTGGAAATTAACTGACCTTAACTCGATCCGTAAAACGCGCTGTTTTGAAACTAATTTGGACTCCGTGGGGTTTATCTGCTTTGTGGTTACGCTGTTGTGTGCCAGGCTGATCTAACGTGGTTATCTGTCATCGAGTACATACTTTATGCCATCATTGCTGTCTACCAGCCAACTCCTCTTGAGCCTTCGTCGAATGTAATGTTTCCTACTGTGCCTCTATTTTGATTATGAAAGCTTCTCATCAGATTTGCCGTGGTTTCGAAATCTAAGTTACACACGGAGTAACGCACATCAGATTTACCATGGATTCCCTTCCAACAAAATTTGTTTTTTAAACTGGCCATTGTTTGTATCGCAAGTTCACCAGTTACTTTTTACATGTCAAAACTGAAAGAGCGACATGAAATTCCTTTTAATTACTTCCGCTGTATTATAATCAGACGGAAGAGAACTTGATAGACTGGAAATAAAGGAAGGAAGGTTGCACTCATGGTACTGTTACAATAATATACCTTTTTATTTTCCCATCAAGATGTAACTTATGTAGAATAGTATATTTGCTTTGGCGTATTTTAAAAATTTTTTCTTGAAGCACTATTAATGTTTACCCTCGAGATCAAGCATTCCTAAAAGCGGTAAATACATGTCATGATGGACAGTTTAATCTAGTTTTCATTTTATTCTCTAACCTTCAAGGCCAATAAGCAAGAGTTCTGGGTAACTATGAGCCCTCTTCCTCACTTGCTCTATTAGTAGGGAAACCGGCTCCCGTCTGTTGATAACCGCGCATGGTCAATTGGTTTTCCTGTTTCGTCTACAATCACGCTGCAGAGAAGAGTATTTCATCCGCGCTAGCGCTGATTCTAGCTCTCGCTTTGTCCTTTGCTGTCTCTTCTACAACTCTCAATCCTCATCTATGCGTAGCAAATCAACTTTTATCTTTGTTAGCAAGCCTTAACTACTATAAATGAATCGTAAATCATTACTAAACATTTCTAAGCCGTACATTACAACATTTCTTATTGTTTGCTTTTGCTCTTCTAATGATGTAGCCAGTAGCCGAGCTGAGATAATTTCCTGGTCGTAACTAAGAAATACTGCTGTAAAGTTAATATGGAAGTGATCGCTATTCTAGATAGGCGTGTGCTGGAGTTACCTGTCTATGCTAAAGCGGGTTAGAATTATACGCAGCATTCCCGTTGAAACAACCCTAGTGTAGATCTTGCTGAAAATGTCAGCTAAAGATATTTGTACGGGAGAAGGTGTTCAGATTGCTGTTATATATGAGTGCGCGTTGACAGGATTAGCGATGACATTATCTTGAGATCCAGGCATGTTAGGTTGGCCGTTCTGGACTGGGTTAGGGCTACCTCCTTTTTGAGGTGAATCAAACTTTGGCTGTTGGTGCAAGTCCTTTGTTTCTCCTGCCTGGGATTTGCTAGATCCCCAGCCGTCACCATAACTGGCCAGTGGGTAAGCGGGCTCACCGTGTTTGGGTATGTCAAGACCTAAGAAAGAGAGGAATTTCAGGTCAAATTTTCCACTTTTTTTTACCCGATCAAAGTTCGTATCAAGAACCACCTGGCGAAACGTTTGCGCTTTAGTGATGAAAAAAAGCTCTAACTTGGAGAAATTAAATAAAAAGGAAAGGTGAGGAACGGAAACTGGACTCGTGATGGCTGCGAAAAAGTAGCGTAGCTACCAGTCTACTCACCTTTCAACTCGATTTCTTCCCTGACACGGAGCTGTTTAGTGAGTCGCAAAGTAAAAAACAAAATGAAAGCCATTACGACAGACCAGGCAACGATGGCAAGCAGCCCCAGGAGGTTCCACCCAAACAAACGGAATGAATGTTCGTCGGCAGCATAAAAGATTCCAGATTCCCTGTTGAATATTGGAGCCGCCAGCACTCCCCAGAAACCACCACCGAAATGAACTGCGGAACGATACAATAAACAATTAAAAATAGTCCACCAAAGCATACATTAGCCGCCAAAACAATACTACAGTTTCTCACTGAAACAGTCTATAAGGACTACCCTTTATCGAGGATCTTGAGGACTCTGGCTGTGAGATTAGAATTCCTGCATATTTTGGCGTCACTTACCAGCCACAGCATCCAGGGGGTCATCAACCCTTACACGCAACATGAGAGTACTCCAAGCAACGTATGCCATTCCAGCGATGATTCCAATAACAAAAGCAGCATAAGGGTGGACAGCATTACAGCCTGCACATAGGGACACCTGAGAAACAAACACATGCATTCTAGTTTCTGTAACGTGACTAGAAGTATTTGTACTCTTGTAGATCAGATCATAGTCAGTTGCAAATAACCCATAAAGCATCTTTGCCCACGTGCTTTACCAATACGATTTACCGTTTACAGTCCTCGGGGGAGGCGTAAGTAAAGCATCTTGCTCAGAAATGCAACTCAATACTCCGACAAGGGCTTTAACCTTAACTTCTTGGTTGAGACTCTAAATACTCATACCATTTGGTATAGGCAACCGAGCCTGCGAATGGTATTCTCAATTTCATATTTATATACTACTTTCAAGTCAAACCAATGTAACTTGATCGCTAATATCCTCATTATATGTTCAGGAAAATCGTTATTGTTCTAGTTTTAGGTTTAGCTTAATAAAACTTTAGCAACACTATGTATTTGTGGTCATGCAAATAGAGATAGTCGTTGTTGTTGTTGTTGTTGTAGTAGAGTAAATGGTTTGGTTTTATATCCTGAACAATGATCTACACTATTATTGTTTTTTAAAAGAACGTCTTACCATTCCAGCAAGTCCACCATTAATGGTAAAAAGCAAACTCCAGTGTTTCTCCGCAAATCCTAGGCGCTTGATAATCATGGCGGTCAATGCACCTGCGGATCCTGAATAAAAGTAACAAAAAAAAAAAAAAAAAAAACAGATTAGTATCTTGAAATTGACAGAGAAGTTGAAAATAGCTTAAAGCTGCGACATTTGACGTTATTTGAATGTATGCTAAGTATAGCTCACCTCCAATGACAGTGTTCACAATGGCCAGGGCCACAATGTCTGCATCACCCGGACTGGAAATGGACCCCTGGGAACCTCCATTAAATGCCAGGAAACCAAAGAACAGGATGAATCCTCCAAGGGCCGCTTTCTTAAGAGTGCAAAGGAAGAAAAGAACTCATACAGTGTTTTATTGTGAGTTTTTCTGAGAATCAGACAAGTGTACTTTCAATTTCCAAGAATGCAACACGCTTGAACATCATCAGCAAACTTACCGGGACAGTATGGCCTAAAATCATCTGAGGGGAACCATTAACAAATCTTCCAATTCTTGGACCTAGAGTGGCTGCTCCAACTAAAGCAATTGAACCACCAAGGACGTGAACAACCCCGCTACCTGCAAAATCCTACCACAACGTAAAAGGAAAAATCAGCGAGCTAAAGGACATTTCATTAGACCAATTCTATCTTCTAGTAGTGTTACGCTTTTGCGTAATACTCGATGTGAATCATCCTGTCATCATCCTGTCATCATCATCACAGCTGCTGCGAACGCTAGCTTTTCCACCAACAATCTTGGCTTGGGGTGATGGCTCGTGTGTAGACTGTTGTCATCATCAGTCCTTATCGCGCCATGGAATGCATACGACCCGAACAGTCTCTCTCCAGCGGGGGCGGTTTTGTGTCACCTTTCAGATTTCAAGTTCAAGACCGCTCCCGCAGGAGAGAGACTGTTCGGGTCGTATGCATTCCATGGCGCGATAAGGACTGATGATGACAACAGTCTACACACGAGCCATCACCCCAAGCCAAGATTGTTGGTGGAAAAGCTAGCGTTCGCAGCAGCTGTGATGACTAACCCAATTCAGACCGGACCTTTTGGTTGACCTTCTACATTTCCAGTATATTTAGACTATGATAATGAGATTAAGAGGGTGTATAGTACGACCAACTGAAAATTATTTACTTTGACGTAAGTAACAAGAACTGACGACATCAATGTTAGTAATTGGTTATGTTATGGACACAAGCGTGATCTTGGATTTCTTTCTCAAAAGCAATACAAAGCAATAAAACGATGATAAAAAGCTTCAAAAAGTCAAAAAAAAAACCCAAAAAACAACTCAATGAAAATTTTGTTGACAGAACATTAAAATGTCTATAATACAGTAAACACCTGTATATAAGGAAAAGAACACGAGGCTGGAAGTTATCCAATAAAGAATGATATATATAAGAACCAGTAATAGGCAGATAAAGAAAACATGTTCTCATTTATTTGCTTTTATTTGAAATTCGTATTTAGTGTAAATAATAAACATTGAATGTCAATTAAACCTCTAGTAATGTATAATGTATAGTGTTTCTGAAACAAAGTTTAATTAAAAACACTTTTAGAACATTTTCAAGCTGATTTCTCACTAAGTACCCGGAGAGAATAAGAACTTTATCAGCCTGAACCCCGAAATCATAGGTTCTTATATACGGGTTTTTACTGTATTCGCTTGAGATTTCTACCTAATTTTCATAAGACTAATAATGTTTAAAAAAGAACATAAATAAAAACCAAACTTTTTTGACTATACGTCATGTCCAGGGTAAGAAAAAATCGTCCGCTAATTGTATTGTTTATAATCGTTAGGTAATTCCCGATGGGAACAGTTTCGCCATGTAACAGTGAAATTGTTTGTTAAAGCTGGGTTGCCAATCTTGAATCATTAGCTAGGCCTTGCTGGATTCTTCACTCGTAAAAAGATTGGGCCTTGTAGAGTATGTGCAAGCTTAAGGGATGCAAAAGATCCTCGCGTAGGAGACGAGAAAACGTGAACCCCAATACATGGAAACTCCAACGTTGTAAACACATGTCTGTCAAAATATGTTTGCAATAAAGACATTACTTTTCTGGAGCAGTGAAATGTCATACAACATTGTTTCCAGATAAAGTTCAAATAAAGTCGCAATTACCTTTGACAGCTTTTACGTAAATATTGAAAATGTTTTAAGGTGGTCTTACACCTTCAAAAAAGTTAAAAAACAAACAAACAAACCAACAAACCAACAGTGTGGGACGGTTTTGGTACCACGTTAAAGGACTTCGCACTCTGACTTCAAAATTGAGCTTTTCCAGGTCACATGCCACAATAGTTAATGAACAACTAGCTCTTAAGTGTGAATAAGTGGTGTTTATTATAAAAACGATAACCTACTAATGAATGGTTCGAGAAGCGTGGAATTAATTAAGTTCAGCTTGTCCATAAGGAAGTTTTCCAGGGGACAAACCTCAGAAAACAGTTTTTTGAGAGCTTTTTCTCGTGAAAATGGGAAAACGTTCTCTAATATTAACTAATATTAACTATATTAACTGAATAACAAGGTAAGCATTTCATAAATTGCAGATTTTAGAGGTTTGAAATCTAGATAATTGTGTCCTTCACCAATCTTGAAAATTTGACAACATTCGGTTGAAACCCAATGAAGATATCATATTTGAAATATTGGTGATCTGTTTATTTGGTCATTTTGAGAAATAAGGCTTTAAAGTTTTACTTCGGTCTCCGAGAGCCCAAATTAACCCTGTGAACGGGGGGTGGGGAGGTGGGGAAGGGCAGAGGCAGAAGGGAGGGGTTATGTCGAAATGTGACATAAATGTTTCACGGAATACCCTAATACGCACCGGTTATAGAAATTTTAACCAAGTATAAAGGGTTTATAAGGTGTTACAGGAAACAATGCTTAGGACCATGATGCACAATTCTCATAAGTACACACCGCTAAAGCTTTTCTGCAAAGTATAATCAAAATGTACTGAATTGAATCCGTTTTGTAAGTACTTTTGGACTGTAAACAACCGTTGCTATAGGCGCTGTATGTTAAAATATAGCTATTAGCGTGCAGATTTCTTAATTTGAACGTAAATCAGGGGGTAGTTACAGCAAAATCGTTTCGAAATACGTTTTGCCAATCGTCAGAGATGTTGAGCCTTATTCAGTTTTAGACAAAATACATGAGCCATATTGTGAAATACAAATGCTATGACAGCTTACCTGGTATGTAACAGCCATGGTCACATTGTCTTTAGTATATTCGACACCAACATAAAGCCAGCCATTTTCATCCCATGCCCAGTGAGTGACTATTGGATACACAAACCCTGCGAGAGAACAACAGCACTTTCTTTGAAGTCGGTATAAGCTAGATCCATGACCATACTATGATAACTAAATGTAGCAGATTCAAAGCAAAACTTTTAATAATAATAATAATAATAATAATAATAATAATAATAATAATAATAAAAACAAACAAACAAACAAACAAAACAAGCACATGCCAACCTCGTCTCCAGGGCGCTTTTCCCTTCAAATATGGGAGGGCGGGAAACGACCCAAACTCGGAGAAAGGCCGTGGGGACAAAGTTGACCACATGCATCCTACAGGACCATCAACCCGCAACGCTCTATTGGAGAGCTTAAGTAAATCACGACGGTGCCGCCAACATCACCATCTAAAAGGTTTAATTAGCCGAATAATGGCTCTAAATTTTTGTACCTTTTCTAGTCGCTCTAGCTCCGCATCATAACAACTGACGCGAAAAGACCAAGCTCTGCGTATCGTGGATTATTTGTAGCACGAAGGCTGATTTTTTCATTTTTTTCTTTTGGAATTGAAGGTTCTCGCTACATATTAGCCTAAGCACATTCTTCGACCGATGGACATTTTGAACAGATCTAGGCAATTGTAACATTTCAAAGTAAAATATAGATCTATCTTTACGCTCCCTGATAATCTGACTGCTTAGAGTGCGAAATGGCATGTTTTGTAATTTATTTTTAACTCACCAGTTAGGAACACAGAGTACAGAAGGTAAGCTCTGAACTCCGTTCTCTCTGCCATGGCACCGCTGACAATTGTTGCCGCAGTTGCCGCAAACACGAAGTGGAAAAACCAGTGAGAGTATTGGTCGACTGGCAAATCTGCTAGTGCGAAATACTTGTGTCCAATAAACCCATTGCTTTCAGCTCCGAAAGCAAAGGCGTATCCGAATAACCAGTAAGATACCGCACCAATAACTGTAAATAATAAAGTATAAGTGGAATTACAAGTCTGCAAACATAAATTTTGTTTTTTTGAACTATGTTATCGGTCTTATGCAAGAATTAACTCTCAAATTTGAAGTTACAATGATTTAAGGTGCTCTGGATTGCAGCTTCATGAGCAATGTTTCTATAAAGTAATTTTTAGTGTCTTTTCGCTTTTATCACAGTCCCCCGCGACTTTCCAAGTTATGATTAATAAGAGGAGATAGGACAAGACAAGACAAGACAAGGCAAGACATGACGAGACGAGACGAGACGAGACGAGACGGGACGAGGCAAGGCAGTACGGGACGGGAAAAGACGGGGCGGGACAATACAGGACGAGACGAGACGAGACAAGACAAGACAAAAAAAGGAGACAAGAGAAGAGAAGAAGAGAAAAGACGAGACATGAAACTATTCCACGTTAATAATAATAATAATAATAATAATAATAATAATAATAATATATATATATTTTTTTAATATTTAAAACTACTACTACTTTTTTTTTTTTTTTTTTTATAAATAAGGTATATACAAGGTAAAAGTAAGTAAAAGAAGAAATAAACTA